TGCGTTTGAGAGCACGTGGCCCTGTCCAGCGTGGACGCACAGACGCGTTTGGGACTGATGCAGACGTGGGCCTTCTCCCCAGGAAAGGGTGCAGCATTTGGATCAGTTCCAGAAGGAGCTGAAATGTGAACCAAGAGCTTGGTTTCTAGAAGCTGAGTTCTTAACCACAATATCACGCACGAAATCCCTGCTTTCATTTCATTCTCCAAGCAATCCAGTGAAGTAAGAAGATCAACTCTGAGCCCGGCTGGCCGGGGAGCTCAGCAGCTGAGCGTCCACCCTGGAACCAAGAGGCCACCCGTTTGATTCCGGGTCAGGCCCAGGCTCGATCCCCAGCAGGGGCCTCGCAGGAGGTAGCTGATGGGTGGTATTTTTCTCATCAATGTTTCTCTCTCTCTCTATCCCTCTCCCCTCCCCTCTCTCTAAAAAATCAATAAAAACATTTTTTTTTAAAAAAAAGAACAACTTTGATACTCATTTCCTTGATGAGGACTCTGAAGTTTAAAAGTTTTTATGATTATTTCATGATTATTTCAGATCAGTTAGTTAATTGAAAGGCTTTGACTGTACTTGAGGCCTCAGGACCCCTCATCCATTCCCTAAAATTAACTTAATAAACTTTACTAAAGTTTTAAGTCAACTTTGCACTGTATGTGCGCGCCCGCACGTGGTATTTTGTGGAAGAGCCACACTCAAGGGGCCAAAGAGCCGCATGTGGCTCATGAGCCGCGGTTTGCCGACCACTGCCTTACACCATTCACAGCGAGTGAGTTGGATCAAGACCTGTCCATAAAAGCTAAGCTTCTGTAACGCTTCTAGAAGAAAACGTAGGAGAATATGTCTACAATTTGTGAGTAGCCAAGACAGAGAAACAGCCATAAAAGAAAAATTTGATAAATCAAACTTCATCGAAATGGAAAACTTCTCATCCGAAGACACCATTATATGTTACTAATTCCTCTCTGTCTATATAAACATGTTCACCCTGAGACGACGTAAGAAAGAAACGCCATCAGCGAGAGGGAGGCTTCCCCCAGCTCCCTACCTAAGTCAAGAGGACCTCCAGGCGCCATCTCTGCTCCAGTTCATTCCACAAACAGCACTCGCTCCCACCCTGGCCCACCAAGCCAGTTCCACGTGCTGACGGCAACCACACCCCGTGTCCACGCGATCAGACAGAGACTCACCCGCCTCGAGCCTCCTGAGAACGGAGCACTGGGCGCTGGGGGTGCTGAGAGACCTCCTTGCTTGGAAACAGGGTTGGTAGAGCGTTTGGGACTCTCCTGGCTGAGCGGCATCAGGATGTCGGGTGCGCTGACCTTCTGGAAAAGGAAACACAGGATTAAGCACAGCGTCTGCATCCCAGTTCACTTTCGTTCAAATGTGGCGACTTCGGCGAGTACAGCCCGCGTCTATGACCAATGGCCGTAATGGGCAAACCCCAGCAGGCGCACTCCTGGTTGGGCAAATGCCTGCACACACACACACACACACACACGCACACGCACACACACACGCACACGCACACACACACGCACACACACGGCCCTGAGCGACGTCACCAAGCCTTGGGTAGTCACGACCACGTGGGTTACTAGGGATCAGTGAAAGTCTTAAGGAAATGGCCTTCGTAGTGACCCTGGCATTTAATCACATGAAATGTAATATTCACTGGCCAGGCAGAGTTTTAACTCAGAAGAAAGGGAAAAATCAAAATATATCTCTAAATCTTACACGACTACTCTATGAAAAGTGGGTACTTTTATCATGGATACAGCTAAGCTCTCCAATATGGTAGCCACTAGCCACATGTGGCTATTTAAATCCAAATTCTAACTAATTGATATCAAACAAAATTATTAAATTCAGCTCCTTGGCTGTACTGGACACATTCCACGTGAGGCCGTGGCTGGAACGGTCCACTGGACAGTGCGAGGACAGAACAACGAACACAGTGGGCAGATGGGGAAACTCGTCTAGCTGAAGATGCAAAGGTGTCTGAATCGAGACTTTTTTTTAGAAGTAGAACTTGAAAATACCACAGTCACACCACAGTCATAACTTTCAGGAATGAAAAGCTGAGTGAGAATTTACAGAACAAATGAAGAAAGAGATTACCTCCAAATTACTGTTTTTGCCCTCAACCCCCGGAACATCAACTCGATTGCATCGGATCTGTGTTAAGCAACACCACGTCCAACCCACCACCCTGCGTCCTGGGGGCAGAGAGAGGAGGAGCGGGAAGGGGAAGGGGAAGGGGAAGGGTGAGGAGATGCAGAGGCTGTCCTCAAGGTCTCCCTAGCCAGCAGGAAGTAGACACGCGGCGGACATGGAGGCAGGAGCCACGTCCACGGACAGAGGAGAGGGAGGGCCGATGCCAGCGGGGCGGGCCTGGGCGTCAGTGGGACTATGCCTAGCGGGTGTGGACGGCTGGCTTCCAGGTCCGGGTCCTGGGAAGCCGGTGATGAAGCATCCGTGCAGATGCATATATTGGAAATTATTAGAACGTTGGTCCTATTCTGAAGATCTGCCTATTTTGACTGAATGAGGAATCCACCTTGGCGTGCGGTGTCACCTCCGGCCCAGTAAGTTCTGAAGGACGCGGACGCGTTTGTCAGGCAGCACCAAGGCCCGGAGAGCAGCCGGTCAGCGTGTTGAGACCGGCTCCCCCGCCCCCACAGTGACTCTGTAATGCATTTCCACAGCTACCTGGTTCGGGGCAGATCACAGAGATGACGCCTGCCCTCGTGAGGCCCACCCCGCACAGAGGCAAGTCTACCGGGCTATGCCGAGACCCATACGCATCGGGCTTGCTTTGACCGAGCGATGGAACCACGCAGTGCGTGTGCTCGGGATTTTCCTGATCTCAGATAAGAGAAGGGAGAGCGCCAAAACCGGTTTGGCTCAGTGGATAGAGCGTCGGCCTGCGGACTGAAGGGTCCCAGGTTCGATTCCGGTCAAGGGCATGTACCTGGGTTGCGGGCACATCCCCAGTAGGAGGTGTGCAGGAGGCAGCTGATCGATGTTTCTCTCTCTCCCTTCCTCTCTGCAAAAAATCAATAAAATATATTAAAAAAAAAAAAGAGAGAGAAGGGAGAGCAGCCCTCTGCCGCCTCCGAGACTGCATTGAGGGTTGCCTTTTTTAAAAAAAGAATATTTTATTTTATTTTATTTTTTAGAGAGGAAGAGGAAAGGAGAGGAAGAGAGAAAGAGAAACATCGATATAAGAGCAAAACATACATCGGCTGCCTCCTGCACACCCACTACCCGGAATCAAGCTCACAACCAGGGCACGTGCCCTTGACTGGAAATGGAACCAGCAGCCTCCTGGTGAACGGGAGGGCACCCAGCCCACGGAGCCACACGGCCAGGGCTGAGGGTGGCCTTTTAACATACTCACTCACTCGGGTGCCAGAAATACCCAGGCTGGGCTTGCCCAGTAATATGTGCTCTGAGCCCAGCTAAGTCCCAGCTGAAAAGCAGATGCCCTCTCCGGGGCGTCAGAAGGGTCACTGGTCCTTCAGTCTGAGGACCAAGTGCTTTAATGGTTGAAACCCAGCGCTGCCGCCTCCCTTCTCTGGCTGGTCAGCCTTCCAGGTGGCGCCAGGAGGTGGGGATGTGCAGGAGGCACCAGGGCCCGGGGCGGGGGGGGGGGGGTCTGTAGGTTTCAGGTGTCCTGAGAAACATCACACAGCACCAGTGCGCAGAGTGAACTAAAGTCTTCTCCCCACCGCTGTCCTCGGCCCTCTCCTCAGACATAGCCCCTCCTTACAGTGTTTTGTCCCTTCCTGGTTAATGGGTCGCCTTTTATGGTCCACATAGGTCACCCACATATTAACAGGACGGACAGTCAGCTCCCCTGGGCTGCGCAGGAGCCTCAAGGAGAGGTGAGAGTTCACTTCCTGCTCACAGGAGGGCTCTGCAGGGACATCTCAGAACATGCAGCTCATGTAAGTGACCTGGCGGGCCTCCCGGCCGTTTTCTCATTCAACCTCCCGGCGTCACATGTGGCCTTAAGAAAAGCGGCTCCTGTGTCTGCCCCGCTGTGGCCGCCTGCACCGTGGGCGCCGACAGCCCTCACCTGGAGGGCACGGCCCTGTGTTGTGACGAAATGTGGGCATCACTTCCGTGAGCTCCCCGCCAGGCTGTGTGATTGCCGCCTGACAGGTGTCCTGTGGAAGGCTGTGCTCTTCATAGTTTAACCCGGTAATTACTTAGCGTTTATAGGTCATGCCATGATTGGCACGTACTTTATAAACACTGGCTAAGTTGTCCTCTAAAACATCCGTGCCCTCACCCTGGCCGGTTTGGCTCAGTAGTTAGAGCATCGGCACATGGAGTGCAGGGCCGAGGGTTTGATTCCCAGTCACGGGCATGTACCTCGGTTGTGGTTGAATCCCCGGCCCTGGTCGGGGTGCTTTCGGGAGGTCACCAATCGATGTGTCTCTCACATCGATGTTTCTCTCTCTCCCTCTCCTCCCTTCCCTCTCTAAAAAAACCCCAAACAAACAAAACAAAAAAGAACAGCACACCAATGGAAAAAGTATCCTCGGGTGAAGATTAAATAAACAAACAGAAAACCAGCCAGACCCTCACTCAAGTGAGGTGGGGCCAGAGCACGCCCGCAGGAAGCTGTCAGCATGTCCCGAGTGCGGCAGCGCCGTGGACACTCACTCGCAGGGCAGCGTCCACACAGCGGGAGCTCGCAGCCATGCCCTCCTCTGCCTCCTCCCTCCTCCATCTGACAGCCTCGTGATGGCCCACAGGCTGTTTCAGGGGCACAGGAGGCGGGGAGGATGCGGCGAGTGCCGGTTCTATCAGCATCCAAAAGCCCAGCTACGCGTGGGGATGCCCGGGATGCCGCCCCGCGGCAGTGACGTCTGAACTGGGGAAGGGCATGCCCGCGAGGCGCTGTGCCTCTCCCGGCGGACGTGCATGGCGTGGCCTCTGTGGCCGGCTCTACCCAGCCCTGCCCTTCCCACTCCCCTACACTCCTGGCGGCTCCAGCCCGGGTCTCGTCTTTGATGGGTCAGTGAGAACACAGACCTCACGGGGCTATTTTAA